TATATAATATAGGTACCGTAATAATTAATTAATTAATTTTACTTACTACTTAGTTACTACCAACCAACTACTACGCGTGAGACGGACTAGATATATATATATATATATATATATATATATATATATAGGCCCTATATATATATACGCGCGTGCTTACTTGTATGTCTGTGTAGATATTTTTTGTGTATTTTTACACATTCTCGGCCGGCGTTGAACATGGGTACTGTATTTGTAAATTTTTTTATTGGATTTAAAATCAATTTCTACATAGAGTGCCCCCTGCATTTTAAATAGTGTTAAACATAATTTCTCAGCTAATAATGGAGAAGCTCTCTATCTACAGCTCGTTTCATTACCCTCTCAGCAGCGTATCAGACGCATATATCAAACGTTATTATTCCCGCACACTATTTTGACACCATGGCGTCGACACGTCTCACACATCTTACAAATTCCAAGAAATCTCGCAACTCGTATTAGTATCGAAGTCGCGGCAATGCGAGCGGACAAACAAATGGTTGAATATTAACACCGCATGCAGGCCCGTAGCCAGGGAGGGTTCGGGGGGTTCGAACGAACCCCCCCCCCCCGAGCCCCCCCAAGCAAATTTTTTTTTTTTTAAATTTTGCAAGAATTTTACCTCAGGTCGCTCTATTTTAGTGTAATAATTGCAAAATCTCCATCGTGCAGGAGGGTGAACAGTGAACACCCCCCGCTCGGTCGCTTGGCTCCCTCGCCTGGTCGCTTCGCGCCCGAGAAGGGGCGTGTACAGGGGGGGTCCAGGGAGTCCGAACCCCCCCTTGCTCGCACAGAAAACGCATCTGAGGGGGTCTAATTTTAAAAATTTTCTGGGGGAGGGCCCCAGACCCCCCTTCGCGTGCTCACAACATTGGGTTACGGTTAGACCCCCCCCCCTGGTACAAAACTTGTACACGCCCCTGCCGAGCAAATTGCCAACATTGAAAAACGAACCACCCCCCAATATAAAGCTGGCTACGGGCCTGGCATGAATCGTGATGTTTCATTCACCGTATATCAGGAGTAGATAATAGGGATCCCTAGGGATAATAGGGATCCCTATTATCTACTCCTGCCGTATATATACAGCCGCAGTCGTTTAGCCTGTTGTACATTCATCACATCTCCGGCTCGACATTAATTGTTCACCATCTGACAGTGGCCTCGCGTTGCCACGGGAACCGTCAACGTCTATACGATGCTTTGAGAAACAAAGCGTCTTTTCTAAGTTTGATTTTCACACGCTCTTTTAAAAAACGCGGGCTTTACTTGGGCTAAACTTGGCCAGGTAGACGCATAACTCGGATTATTTTCTCCAATGTAAACGCGGCTTGTATGAACGGAGCTGTTGGCATTTGCCATGCTACTTTTATTTGTCACCGCAAGCTGTTGTATATATTATTGATACACGACCTTTCTAATGTATTATGAATATTGAGCACAATGTCTTTCCACTGATGAAATATCCTTTACGTATGCATGCATTGAGAGTGATGTTATAGCTTAGTTAGATTAAGCAGGCTGTGCGCCTATATGCTCGTATTAACGCCGATGGCTGATGCTATATAAACCAAAGCAATAGTTTTCCATTCCATATCACGTACCAAATCGTTGTGCTCATGCAACGTATACACCACATGTTGGGTTGAATATCAAACCCAATGATATGAAAAATCTCCATTTGGTTATAAATACCACCATCCTAGAGCGAATAACGCTGTATCGGGCTTTACGTTGTCATAAGACAACTTAATCTTTATTCATCCGCACCTTCTAATTTACACTATTTGATATTTAATTCATGATGAATTAATTAAAATGTGATTTTAACGCATTTTTTATAAGTAATTGTTATTATTGCATGCCGTTTTTGCGCTTGTTTATTTTTCCAGTACACACATAAATTTTAATTTTAATGTAGGATAATTAAATACGAATAAAAATACATACATCGTAAAACTACTGAAACGCCCATCGAGTATTTCGGAACCGAATTAACCTGCAATAGATATAGTAGCCCTTAAAAAATATAACATGTGAATCATGCTTATATATTTCCAGGTAAAGCTTCCCCTAGTTTATACCTTATTTACAATGTGATCTTGGCGTGTTTAGCTGCGCCCCCTACATTTGTGGGGCTAACCACAATGAAAAATGTTGTCTAGCTATAACATTTAAACGTGATAGTACCTGATTGTACAACCTGCATGTCCCCGGAGTAGAACAGTTACTATAGATGCAAGTCCCGGGGGCAAAATTTTTTTTCCCACTTGAGTTCCGGACCACAGCCAATCAGCGCACTCCATTCACTCGACTTCCTCGAAGCAACAATGTAAAATGAATAACTCCTAACCCTAAACCTAACCCTAACCCTAACACGTAACCGAACCCTAACACTAACTATAATCCAACCCTATATATAAGATCCATTTATTACAAAACACTATCTATGGTGGGTCCGGAACTCAAGTGGGAAAAAAAATTTCGCGTCCCGGGGGAGGGGGCACGCCCATTGTTAAAAGTACTGGGGACGTGCCGCTGGACAGGGTATATATTCCGAACATCATTATTGGCATGCAGGGTTATCTAGATACACACCCATCAAGCTGAGATTGGACCAATATTGGCAAAACACTATTGGGCCAATATCACCAAGCCGATATTGGACCAATATCTGCCTATATTGACAGGACAGAACATAACCAAAATGTGCAATATTGCAACAGGGTATAGTTTTTAGTGCAGTATATTGGTACAGGGTGTATTTTAGGGCGCAAAGCGGTTTGCGACAGGGTCAGGTTTTCAAGGTCCCGGAGGCACCCCCCTACCCAGTTCCGAGGCGAGTGCCCCCCGGGATTCAACTGTTCGCACGGTGCGCCGCTTACACCGACCACCGTATAGGCCTACACAGTTATCTTTACAACCACAGCGAGAAGCAAATCAAGTATTGGTTATAATTAATATATTACATCGAATCGTCAAACGTATTTCTCATTATAACGATTACAACAAACCGTTGTTCTGCTGATATATCCCCGCACTCAGTGTTTCCACCTCTCATCGTAGTACGTAATGGCGCTGATACATAACATCCAGGGTTAGCCGAGTTTTATGTGTAATACAAACTTAATGATAAACGGCTACATATACACCGCAATGACTCTTCCTAATGAAGCTGTCGAACACGTGACCTTAGATAACATAACAGTAAGAATGATCTTATTTGACATTTAGGAAACTTTAGTTGAGTAAAAGACTACAAATAGATCACAATCGATAGACATAAACAAAACATTCGTAGTCAACTTTGAATTTTGAGTGGAAGTGGGGTACCACAGCATGCGACGGGAGTGAACGGGAGTTCGGTTGCTGCGGTTATGAGTTAACAGACGTACTGCCATATTGCATAATGGTTAACGTACACTATACAACAATTCTCCATTCTTCCCATAACACCGGCTGCGTCACAACGAGATGAAAGTGAAATGAATAAAGCCTATAGAGGAAGGTTTATTTATATTTTCGTAAACGAATTTCAGATTTTATAACAACTTTACCATAGAAAACTATTTTGAGCGCACCGGTTACCGCCTTTCGTTCCCGGTCTTACACGCTGGCCACGTATTTGCGGTGTGAAGTAGAAACGAGGCACGCTATCAAAGTAGATGTGTTTTTCTTAGATTGATTTCGATGATGATCTGAACGACGTCACCTATGACGTCTTTCATCAGGTTCATGTCCGTGGCGCAGGTCACGTGCGGATACACCATCATCTTATCTGGCTTTCGCTTGATGAATTCTGTCCGTAGAAACTTGATGACGGTGTCTGGGCCCGTGTCGCCTGCGGAAATGTTCAAGCAAGCAAAGCGATGCGTTAAAACTGCCCGAGTATAATATTATATGTTATATTTACATTATACGCGTAGCGTGATACTAATACTGCGGACATAAACATCGTTTCTGGCATTATTGGATGGTCCCATTTTGCATGTAGTCAACATATTGTCAATATTTACGTTAAATTTGTATCATAGCAATTATTTAAAATGTCAAATTTTATTAATTCTATAATGTCTATCGCTTTATTAATTAATGATGTCATGTTGTGCCGCACTGGTTTTTAATACGCGAACAATAGCGAAAAACATTTCACCGATGTTGTCACATTTTTGTTTGTATATGTTTCCACGTTATCCGACTGCCCCGCTTCACGCTGCAATAATATTTGCACGTCTCTGTAATTAGTTAGACAAGATCTGAGCTTCAACTTTACCCTTATATGCAGGGAAGCAGCTTTTGATGTTTTTCGTCTTGATCTTTTCTAAAAACACGTCTTTCTTATTGAGAAATAGGATGAAATCTCTCTCCCGCAAGAATTCGTTATGTGTCAATTCTTCAAACAGATCCAAGCTGTCTGTCAGTGCATTCTAGACAGAAAAAGTGTAAAAATTAATTATAATTCTAAAAACGTAATACGATCCCTTTAACAATGAAATGTTTGACCTGAAAATAATGAACGAGTTATAATTACGTAGAGACAAACTCACTTACGAAAGAACATTTAAATTTATTAATAAAAGCTCTAAAACTAGGCAGTTGTTCACATGACGTTAATTAGTTGACAGGCACGTGCAAAACAGTAATCTAACCATTGTAGGATCCTCGTCCAGCGTTTCACAGTAGCTGCTTAGAGATACGAAGAATATCACAGCCGTAACCCCATCAAAGAAATTTATCCACTTCTTTCGCTGACTCTTTTGTCCCGCCACGTCAATTACTCTGTAATAAAGTGTGCGAGCCGTACGTATCCTACCCCACAAGCTCCTACTGTGTTTCCATAACGTATATAGCGGTTTGTGTATGTGACACCTCAGATCAAACGAACACCGCTAAGCTACGGTTAACTTACGGTTACTTTACGGTTAACCGTTATAAGCTTACGTTAAGCTTACTATATATATATAATATATCTGCTGTAGAAAAACATATATATCGTACATCTTGAGATTATATAATATAACGTGTAATGTTACGCTCAGGCGCCATATGAATTTCTATGGATCTCTTTGAAGTATATTACATTTGCATACGGTGTAAGTTTGTAGTTACGCTAACAGCACGTACGCGGACGTCAGCCAAGCCAACTATCGATTCTCGTGCGGCTTGCTGAGAGAGAGATGTAGTGTTTGTCTGTGCGGTGGATCTACACCGTATAGCGACGTCTCTAGCATGCAAGACTATAATAGCATCCCCGATGATCACTAATCCGACACTAATCTAATCGAACACTAATCCGTTGTTTGCAACTAACCTGTAATCTAATCCATTCACGCCGAAAACGTACTCTTTGATTCCCTGCGTGGGTCTCCGGATGTATAAAATGTCCTGCAGTGTAGGCACGTAAGTTGGCGCCGATATTCGCTCAACATTCTCCAGAAAACTGTAACATGCAACAATTGTACCCGCAGTGTTTTAAAATAAGTTAACGTACCCCTGCACGCGTGCATGCGTGCGAGCATGCGTACGTGCGACCGTGCATGCGTGCGCGCGTGCGTGCATGCGTACGTGCGTACGTGCGAGCTTGCATGCGTGCGTGCGTGCGTGCATGCGTGCGTGCGAGCGTGCATGCGTGCGTGCGTGCGTGCATGCGTACGTGGTTGGCGATGTCACGTGCCGATGGAAACGGCTGTGATTGGCCATTTGTAAAGTGTCGCCGGCGACAGTCGCTGGGAAATAGAAACGTTTCTAAATATTTTTGTCGTCGAGGGTGTCGCCGGTCGTCGTCGCTGCAGTGTGCGATGGCTCATAGGAAACAATAGTTTCTAACTTTCTGAAAAGTCGTTTGTCGTTACGGTCGGTCGCTGTCGCTGCAGTGTGGCTTGGCCTTAAAGCGCATGATGATATTTTTGGCAACACGCTTTTACCACGCACACACGAATCGACAGCTTTGTACAAGTATGGCTCATAGGGTCTATGTCCCCCCGGGTACTGCCGGAACGTACCCTGGGTACGGTCCGGTATACCGGAACGTAGACCAATAAATTGTGCCCTAAAAAATTTTATATTCTGATGTTATTTTAGGTTATTTTAGGTTATATTCTGATGTTATATTATCTGATGTTTATTTATTTATTTTACCTAAAATAACATCAAAATATAACAATTTTTAGGGCACAATTTATTGGTCTAACCGGAACGTACCCTGGTAACTATTTGATATGGTTAGGGTTAGGCCGGGTTAGGGAGTAGGCGTAAGCGACTCCCTAGACTTGTTAGGGGAGTAGGCGAGTTACTGTCCAGCATATTAGATAGTACCAGAGTACGTTCTGGCAGTACCCTGGGGGACATAGACCCTCTCAGCACAAGTATGGTCCCCTGGAATTTACATGTACTCGCAGCACTGTATGCCAGACTGAAAGTGCATGAGAGCGCCTAAATGTATTTTCATTCACATTACAGACTGTAAGCTTCCAGTTCCAGATGATGCTGACTCAGTGCGTGTATCACTATTGGCTTCTTTTTCTCCACTTTCCATTGTGCTCTGAATAGGATCAGCACCGGGGATGCTCAGTCCTGAAACCCCCATATGATAAGTGATTAGTGATCCTAGTAGATACAAACTGTATTTAACCGAATAGAAAAGTACCAACTGGCAACTCTATGTGTTGGATTACATATATATTAAAATGACTAATGAGTAATGTAAATGATATTGTCGACCAAAGCTACCAGTCCCAACTTGACCAACTTACATGAAACGGTCATACATCGAAAGATCTACGTTTGACAGATACAGTTTATGCACATTATGTGTGACGAAATGATACACATATCTCTATGTATCAGACAATGTTGTACATTTGACATCATATTATGTATGTATTTTAGTCACAAAACGAGTGTGTGCCATTTTCGCGGTAGTTTGCCGGTGTGGTGTTTTGAACATAAACCACGTCCAAAACGGGTTACACGATTCACCCAAATCCACCCCCAAATCCACCAAATCCACCAAATCCACCA